TGAGTCTAGAGTATGCAACCCCTCAATACCCACGCAATGCTTTATTAACTGCCCTACTCTGCCTCTGAATGGCTAGTCTTCCTTCATTGGTGATCGGTGTGGTTGGTTAGGTTTAAACACGAGGGCCGAGATGGTTATGGTTAAAAAAAAAAAGGGTTAGAAATTAATGGCCATGTAACTGCGTTCATGTGTTAGCACGTAGCTCACTTAATGCCGAAAAATATCCCTGAAAATGTTAGGGTGTGGTTAGGGTTGTGCTGAATTACAGTACTGGTACAAACACGGTTTTTATAAGAATAGTTCATTGTGTTCTTGCTGAGAGTTAGAGGAGAAGATATTACGCTCATGGGGATAATAATATAATAATCTCATTATCTGCAAGAAAGTGAACACAAATATTTCCCAAAATGTCAAACAGTTTTTTTGAATAATTCATTATGCAGCATTTTCTAATTGAGGGAACAATAAAAAAGTATCAAATGAAAAAAAAAATCTGTTTACCAAGTAGACGTAACATTGCAGGGGTACATCTTTGTTTTCCTCGTCCACAAACAGTCCTCCAATGATGTAGAGCTGGTTCCTCTGAGACGCCAGGCTGACGTGGTTACGTGGCACTTGCTCCGACATAGCCGCCAGGAAGCACTCATTCTCGCTGACATCATAAGCCACCGCTGCCGTATCATTGATCATCAGGATGAACTCACGTGTGAACATGCCGTGTCTGCGGTTGTCATTCAGGAAGCCAGGGAATAGGCTGTCCTCCTCGCCTCCTTCATCATCTGCCCCCTCCTCCCCCTCCTTCTTCTTGGGCTTCTCCGGAAGTTTCCCCTTGAAGGCATCCCTGATGACCTGGATCGTCTTCTGGAGCTCAGGATCAGCCTTGATGATCTCATCGGTCTCCACTTTGTCTTTGAAGTACTTCTCTGGCAGCAGGCGGAAGCGGATGCAGTTGAAAGCATCCTTGAGGACCTTGATGCGCTCCTTGTCATGGCGGACCCAGGCCATGACCGCCTCAAACACTAGCTCCTCCTTCTCCACGTTCAGCGAGTCTCCACCGATGACGGCGAACAGTTCGTGGGCTGCGAGCTTGAGGAACTCCTCGTCTTTGTAGAGGAGCTCGAAGCGGTCAGCAATGAAGTTGCGTGCAGCCACCGCGAGCCTGGGACAGTTGAGCACCAGGCCCATCCTGAAAATGGCCATGCAGTTGCCCAGAGACAGCTTCTTCTGAAGGTAGTTGACGCAGACCGTAAAGACAGAAGGGATCTGGAATCTGTTTGCCACGGCAATTATATCCTGTACGTTGTCATCGGTCAGGTCAATCTCGGCCGAGTAGAGGTACTGGACAATCATGTCCAGGATGGAAGGGTTGACATCATCCAGGACCACCTCCTTGGTGTTCTCCACCTCCTTCCCGTCCTCTGTGAAGAAGATCTCCCTGAAGTAAGGGCTGCAGGCGGCCATGATCAGCCGATGGCAGGGGAAGCTGCGGTCGCCTACCTTTAGGGTGCAGTCTACAAACTTGTTCTCATTCAGCAGCTCCTTCAGCCCGTCCTGGAGCAGGGTGCTCTGGAACAGGCGCAGCTCCTCCTTGATGGCATTGGGGTCCATGGTGTGTCAGGATGGGGAAACAATGGGTGAACAAGGGGATCTGTGGAGAGGAGAGAGGAAGGAGACGGCGGCCACAGGTCCTTTTGGCAGTCGGTCCTGGATGGAAAAGGCAGTGCAATGAAAAGGTTTCCAGTGTGAAGACCCTGCAATTTAATCCCACCCCACTCTAAATATAGTTCCCTCTGCCCCCTGCCTGCTCCAGCTCCAGTGGAATCTGACTGGGCCAAATCACAAGCAGCACAGGCCTCGGCTCGAGCAGCTGCTGTCACAGACTGAAAGAAGCAACTGGCTGCTCAGGCTGGGGATATGCCACCATGATTCAGCTACCAAAAGTGTCATGTGGCCGACTAGCAGCGGAGACAATGCTGTCAAAGCCCTCGAATAGTTCACCTCAAGCTATACGCATGACTGGGAGTGTATTTAGAGCAGTCGCTGTCACATTCAAGAATATGTCTGCTCTAATGACTTTAGACCGATCATCCTTTTATTTATATCTTATTGTCATTAATTTATTCATTTTTTATTTCATTTCAATTTATTCAGTCTATTATAGCCAAATTAACTTTTCTGGTTAGCCTTACACCGATTTATACTTTCTAATTTATATATTGTGACGAACAAACCAAGACACCATCTATAAATCTAAATCTAAATAATATAATTATAGTCACTATGCTGATTATTTTCTCCTTAAAAAAAAATCTAAATTTCTCATAGCAATTAAGATACCATCCTTAAATTACTTGTTTTATTCAACAGTCCAAAAATATTAAATCTGCTATCATATATGACAAGCTAAAACCATGTTTTTCTTGACCAAGTGATTAAAATGGAAATGAAAAATGATAAAAATGTTTTGTACTAAAGTAACTATTATTTTCCTTAGTTTAATGTAATCACTTTGGCCAAATGCCTGAATTCCTCAAAGAAACTGCCAACATCAGTTCAAAATCTTATCTTATTTTATCTTCTTATCTTATCTCAGTGTGTCTTTATTTAAGTGAGATTGAGGGGCACAAAAACATTGTGCTAAAAATGGACCAGACAGGTTTGGGTGCAGCAGCTGTGTGCAGAAACAGGTGAGAGCCACACATTCAAGCTGTCCTGTCCACCAATCAGCATGCCTCTCCCTTTTCCCTGTGGGGTGTATTATTGTCCAGCTGCTTGTGTCTGTGTGTGTCTGTGTGTGTCTGTGTGTGTCTTTGTGACTGTGTGCCAGTGTATTGCTCTGCAGTTTACAAACCTTTCTAAACTCACCTCAATTCCGGAGATAATTTCAGTGCTGAAACCATTTATTCACTGTGTTTTTTAAATGCGTCAATGCGCAGTGTTAAAACTGGTAATTAAAGACATTAATGACATATGTGAATCAACAGGGATCTTACGTCTTACTTCTGTGGCCTGATAAAGTGTGAGGAGTGTGTAGAGTTAGGTAACATTTCTCCCGTGGGCAGCACTAAAGATAGATCAGACTACGCCACTTGTCGAGGAGTGTCTAACATGTAATTTAAGCAGAAGGGGAGAGCAGATTCTGCGTAAGAAAGCTCTGCTACTTCCCTAAAGCCACAGTTGATGAATAAAGCAAAGTTCAGGAACATGTCTCGCAAATATGGGTTCATTTTTGTAGAGTATGTAGAGACTGGGTGAGAATTACTGCGTGGGCTGTGGGAGGTGTTGGTGGGGGGTGGCTGAAGCTTAGGTTGCACTTTTTAAAAAAGCTCAAGTGTTATATTCTTTGAACCCTCCCTTTGACTGCAGCATCCTCCCAATATACTCAAATAATAATATTGCATTATAACAGTACTGAATTGATAGAGCTCATTTAACCTTTAATAACTCAAGAGACAAACCATTAAGAATTTGAACCGGGTTTAAACATTTCATATCAGACATTTAATTTTTACAAAATTTGCCACCAAGTGAAGGTATTTATGTGAAACAAGTTATTCCTTTACCCAAATATTCCAGTCATTCTGTGTGTTTTAATGATTATTAAACACTACGCTAACAGTAAGCGCCCGTTTTAAACGTATTAGAATAGTCTTATGTTCAAAATAACATATATAAATCAAGTTTGGCTGACTATAAAATTGCCCTTGGACTGAAAAGACATGCACAGAATATGAAAATCCATATTTATTCTGTGTCTCCAAACTGGCATATTGGCTCTATTGATATGGAAAAATAAAACTGAAACTAATTTTGTCACTTGTTCATATAATAAATCCCACAAGAGAAGGCAGAATTTAAAGCCTCAATTTTTTCCCACCCCTGCTTCTCCAAATCATTTCCATACAGCCCCTGACCATGAATATGCTGCGGTTGCACATACTGTATTACTTTAGATCAGATTTATTAAAAATGTTTAACATCAAATAGTGACCATGTAATAAACAGTACAATATGGATTTATAGAGTCAGTAAAGCTGAGTAACATAGTGACAGACCAGTTACTCAACAATGGAAGTCAAATTCTGCTCACACAGTATCTTCTTCTGTCCCAGTTTAAGAGACATCAGCATGTGTTACCCAGTAGAGGGCAGTGTGCATATGTGTGTGTCTGTCCATCAGTGTTATGTTGGAAGATTACTGTTTGAACAAATGAAGTTAGTGGTAAGAAGGAAACAATGTAAACACAAATCATCACATTTTCATTCAGAAAATCTAACAAAAACACATTCAAATGCATAAAAGTTACAGAGCATCAGTCATTTTTATATAAAAAAAAAACAAACTAATATAATATTTTAGTGATATAAGTGGTGGAGAGGCTTCATTTATGTTGTGTCTTATTGGCTCTTGTGATTATACACTAATATACCCTACAGTGATTTTTGAGTAGAGAAATGAATAGCTACACTGTGTCTTTATGGCATATTGATTGATTGCTGCGCTTTATGATTTAGACATTGACAAGGCACCAGAATTACGACTGGTCATGTTCAGCAAAACAGTCAATATTTTCACAATCTTTGCAGCACTCATCGACTGTGTGTGAAAAAAAATGTCCCATGGGAGTGGGACTCATCGGGGAGCTGGACACACACAGCGAGAGTGATTATCTGTATTCCTGAGTAGATGGAGTTAGATGCTGATATAAAACAAATAACAACAATGGAGGTATCTATCAAAGCTAGGCTCTCTTTCACTGTAATTAGAGGAGGATAATTTTACAATAAGTGCTACAGGAGGGGGCACAAAGACAGGAACTGAAATGTAACGGAGATAAGGGAGTGTCAGTGTACACGTATATGCCTGAGAATTATGCAGAAACTTAACATAACCCTGTGAAAAATGGCTGGTATTAGCTGCCCCTCCTTGAAGTATCTACAGCAGATGTAAGACAGATGCCTTCACTCAGCCTCCTGGAAAAAAATAAAAACAAAGAAAAAAAAGTCAATACTCATACTCAACATTTGGAAGCAATCAAATTGTAACGGCCATTTCGGTGGAGGAAATTGGAGAGAAAAAGAAAGAAAACGACAGATTTGCTGTTCGACAGAATGAACCTGACTGCCATCAGTGTCATCAATATGGCAGAGATGAATCATGTGAGTGTACCTGTTGATCTCGCAATCACACACGTCCTCTTGCACTCGTCTTCTGTGTCAAAGCGGTTCTTGTTGCCGTTACAGCCTCCGTACCAGAACTGGGCGCAGGCGTTGGCCTGCTTGTCGTAATACCAGCGGATGTTATAGTCCCGACACGTGCCCTGGTCTAGAACCAACAGACAGCGAGGATCCAGTGGTACAATCTCTGCAGGAAAAGATGTCACATAATAGTTAAAATAAGGTCGGACCACAAATAATGATTCACCATCTCTCTTCCTTTGATGACCTGTCCACCTAATTCCACCTCAAAGTCTTCTGCGCTCTTCTGAGGCAACATCTGTTTCTTCACAAGAAGGAGCAGATTCTATAAAATAATCAATAATTGGCCTCCCTGCTCCTCATCTACATGACCTCTTTACATAGCCTGTCAATCACAAAGCACTTATAACTCGGGAGCCAGGCCACTGCTTCATACTCCACGACTGTGGTCACTGCACACAGCAGTGGGCTGCAGGGACCCCTTCGCTACCTGTACTCTAAACAAACTGGACTCATCTATCAAGGCCTGAAAGACTTTGAGAAAACATAAAGTGATGATTTATTAGCATTAGCATACACGCTCTGTATCAGACTAGCTTAGTGAATGCAGAATCTGGAGACAAGAGTCAAAATTTGTAGTACAGTAGCTGACATTAAAATTGCACTGATTTGTTCTTATGGTACAATTTACACTATCACTCTGACACATATGATTTTATATATATATATATATATATATATACACACACACAC